GACTCTGCCTCTGGGCTCCCTCTGCAGCCCCTGCTGCCGGTGCCCGGCTGGGCACTGAAGTGGTAAGGAAAAGCCAGGAGCTGGCAGTCTCTCCTGCTGCAGTGGTGAGCCAGAGGCTGGGGTGATAGTCTCTCCCTGCTGCTTCTTCTCAGGAAAACTTTAGTACGTTTTTTAAAAAATAGCACTCATCTTCTGTGACCTGGGAAGAGCCAGGGACCAAGCATAGAAGCTACAGCACCAGTTGTTGCACCAGGGCCCTAGCCACTTGCTCACAAGCCCCTACTTAGTCAGTCTTTCCCAGCATTTTCTTCCCAGGAAGGATCCTCGTGATTTTTTTAAAAAATGACACTCGGCTTCCGCATCCCAGGAACCACTAGGATCCAAGCCCAGCAGTTGCAGCACCAGCCACTGCACCAGGAGAGCCCTGGCCGCTAGCTCCCTAGCCCTCACTCAGTCAGTCACTCGCACACCCACTCACTCACCAGCACGTACACAAAATTTCCCATACACTCACTCACTCACACCAGGACTTCATAGTCTGACTGGCTCAGTCACCATCTTCCCCTATCCCCCTAAAATCACTAATGAACTGTTCCTTTAGCATTTTAAGCTTCTTAACAAATCAAAACCACCCTCCATGACATAACCTTTTATGCTACAGGCTGGCTCTCAGAGCAGCACTTTCCCAAGAAGATAGGTTCCCATTGAAAGTGTGGCATCCTATCTCATTGACCAGGTTGATTAACTTGTTAACTGTTGACCAGAGCACCTTTCCCTTACGACCATCCTTGATCCCAACATGGGTCTGATGTTGCAAACAGACTGATTTTCTTTGAGACAATGGTATATGGATGCAAGTCCTCTTTGAGTTTCTATAGGACACACCACCATGTTGTCACCAAACTATGTTCAGTAACACATGAGAACATTTAGCTCCTAAACATTTCATTTTGTCATCTCCATTCTACACTCATTGATTTGTTTTCATTCTTTGTGATCACAAGTTAGGAAAATATCCAAAGTCAGGACCTCAGAACACCTCTTAATCTGAACTTTGCCCATTCAAGTTCACATAGAAGCACTGTTAATTAAACAGGATTTGTCTCCCAGGGCTTCTTTCTCTAGTTAAACCCTAGGATGTTGGTAAAGTATATTGAACCATGGGCCAATCCATGTAGGATAATGAAATATAGCCCAGTAGTTTCAGAAAACAGAGTCTCTGCTAAGAAATCCATGAATTCACTTCTTTTGCTAAAGTTTCTTACTTTTCACTTTTGGGAGGGAAAATCTAGAAGACTTTAGAGGAACTTCATCCTGATCCCTCTTTGCCTCCACTCACATAGCAACCAGCTAAAGTCCTGTGCTGGTGAGAGCTTCAAGAATATAGTCTTGTGGTTTTTAAGCAAATCAAAACCTAAAATGTCTATAAATGCTAAGCAGCAGCAGATACAGGGCATTTCATGATGTGCTTAAATTTCTCTTTCAGAATGTGCATCACAGTCAAGAACCAAATGCTCATATCTTAAATGGTTTCTCCATTTTATAAGATGTTCCTCTTCTTGGTGATAACCATTCTTGGCAAAATCTTTGAATTCCATGCTGGCCACCTTTGGTCCATCTTGACCAGCTAGCAAAGTTGGAAGGAAAGAGAAAAGGAAATTTGAAGTTGGGAAATCCATGTAACCTAAATCTTGCTATGCTACCACCAACTAGATATTTGTAACTTTGCCCAAGATATGCAAAAATCCCTACAGACACTTAACTTGTAAAAGATAAAGACAATTCTGAGGCAAAATAATCCTGAACATGTATGAACTACCAGCTTGGGTCAGTAATATCTGTTGACAGTTTATAATAATATGTCTATCTCTTACCTCCTGACACATCTCAGGTTGGTCTATCTGCCACTCTTTCCAACAACCACTAGCATCCTGAGACTCAACATGCCCGCCTACTACCCCTGGGATCTGCACACTTTGGTTTGGTATTCCATGCCATATCTCTTAATTTATTTTTAGGATATAATAAAGAGGACCACCAAATTCCAATCTAGCATTTACCTCTGGCTCTGACAGATGAAAGTGTTAGCTAATTACATAAGTATTAGTTAATTAATTACTCCAGTGAATTAGACTAATTAACATGTCTGTTTCGAGTGCAGATTCTGTCAGTCAGTGATCTTCATCACTAACTGGGTCAGGTGATGCCAGTTTATGGACCCTATATAACAACTCCCTCAGATACTAAGGCAAGTGGTCATCATTTGGGTGAAGTTGAGAATAGTCTTATAACATCTATGAAAGTGGAGTACTAATTAATGTCTTCTGGGTAGCCTTCAATTATTCTTCCTAATGTTCAATATTCTCAAAATTTGATCCTGCTCTTATGCTAGGTTGTTTTTCAACAATTTTTTTTTATTGACTATATTGCAAAAGGCCAGTCACCTAAATGAGACTGGGAAAAGGTTTTGTTTTTTAAAAGCACACATGCAGGAATGCACAAGGCAAACTCAGGCCCAGTTGCTGAGGATTTTGCAAACAAAAGCTGTGCGCCAAGCAGTATCCATGACTTAGCCCAGCCTTGTGATCCGGAGGACCCTACATCAGATTTGTCAAGTCCACACTCCACAGCATCTAGCCTGAAACAAAACAATTCCCTTACCACTGTCTTCCTCTGCAGTGCCAGCATTTTCCTATCCTCACTCCTGTGACAATTTTCTATCTGGCTTAATTTTGCCTGAACCTCTAATGTTGGAGAAAGAAATCAGAGTCCTGATGTGCAAGGGGATAACATTTAGGCCTCTCCCTGCAGTCGGTGTGCTTTCTGCTGAATCTCTGAGACTGGCACAAGTAGGCTTAGAAATGTACCTGCCCCCTAAAACAGTGTCACTCTGGGGAGGGGCACAATAACTGGGAATTTGGAGCTCCCAGAACCTTGTTGTAAGGGCCATGTGCCAGGTGCAGGGAAGAATCCTGAGACGACAGAGAGTATGAGATGGATGGCGTCTGCCCTAAAGAAATGTACATTTTCTTGAAGAGCGATGTGTGGTAAATAAGATGCCAGGCATTAGGAAACTCAGGAGAGAACCAGCAAATCCAGACTGAGGGATGCAAGAGGCTTCCAGGATGTCGTGGTGCCGGGTTAAGTCTTGAGGAAAGATGTGCCCCTGAAAAATATTGCTAAGCATGGAAATGGGGTGAATATGAGAGACCTGTGCTCCTGGCCCAAAGAACAGTGTGAATAATGCAGAGAGGCAACATAAAGAGTGCCACATTTAGGGAATTATTAGTAGCAATACATGGTTTTTCTTCTCAAGTATTTGCACTAGACCATCTCAGATGAGACCTTGATGGTTTTCTGTTTTTGAGATTTCTGGTATTTTAAAGAATAAGAAAGACCAAAATAGGGTTTCACTGACTGTAATACATTTTATATATTTACATTTAATGAAATGGCATCTTAATCCTTTTAATAATGCAGTTTAATTGTGCTATTTCTTTTTTTTTTTTTTGAGTTGGAGTCTCACTCTGTCGCCCAGACTGGAGTGCAGTGGCACACTCCTGGCCACCGCAGCCTCGACCTGCTGGGCTCTGGCAATCCTTCCACCTCAGCCTTCTAAGAGCTGGAACTACAGGTGTGTGCTACCTTGCCTGGCTAATTTTTTTATTTATTGTAGAGATGAGGTCTCGCCAAGTTGCCCAGGTGGGTCTCGAACCCACGGGCTCAAGCAATCCACTCACCTCAGCTTCCCAAAGCGCGGGATTATAGGCTGAGCCACCCAGCCCGGCTGTAATTGTGCTATTTCTAAAACATTGGTGGATTTATAAACAAAATTCCTGAATTCATTCCACACTGCAAGTTTGATGGAATACACATTGAAAGATGACTTCAAGATTTTTTTTAGCCTAATCAGTGAATTTACACATGTATGGATATAAAGTTGAATTTTAGACCAAATGGCCCCTGGGCACAGTGGGATGGACATGCCTTCCTGAGGCCTTGGCCCTCTTTCCCTTTCTCCCAAACCAGCCTGGGGACCAGTGTCTCACCTTTTAGGACGCCTCTTCCATGAAGCACCCAGAAAAGGTTGTACTGGTTCACCTAAGACTGCATCCCTTACACCACACACACACACACACACACACACACACACACACACACACACACACCAACTTCACAGCCTGTAACAGTAGGAGTGGCAATGTATAGCAATGTCCTCACATCTACACCTTTCTTTTCTTCCTTCTTTTTCAGGTCTCTCAGGGTGGGGATGGGTTAACAAAGGGTCTTTACTTCCTGCCACACCACAGTCCCGCAGCTTCTCCATTCAGCCTGAAGCACCAGCAATGGCATGAAAGAGCTCCAAAAATGTCTTAAACTATCCATTCTGGTGCTAAGCTGTTTATTTTTTCACTTATTCATTCAATAAATATTAACTGAGCATACATCATGCTCCAAGATATCTAGGAAGTGCTGGAAGTAAAAGGATGAATAAGACAGTTCTTGCTTCTTTAATTTCTTTCACAAAAATATTGACATTCCAAGAATAGGGAAGACACAAGCCACCACATTTCTCATACTAACCTTCCATATGTCGAAACACATGTTATTAAGTGTATTCTCTTCCTCATGCCAGAGAACTGAAGCTTATTGAGTCTTTTGATCTTGATTGTGTTTGGTTTTCAATATACAGATTGTGACTGCAACAAATCCTTTATGGAAGAGGGAAGCTATTTAAAAAAATACACACTTCTTTTATTTGTGGTGTAGATGTGTTGCAGTTTAACATTATTACACATATGTGCAAAGAAAATGTACTTTATTTTCCATTAACCAGCTAATCTTTCTCACTATGCCCAGTATCCTGGGATTTGGGGTGGAGGGCAGCGACTTTAAACTTTCCCATAAACAGCTTCTCTGTGTCTTTGGTTCAGGTAGTCTTACTTAGACAATTCATTTTCTTTCAGACACATAATGTCTATCTTCTTCTTTGTACTCACTGTTTCTATGGGAGAGGACACATACGAAATGGGGTAGGTAGGGAAGTGCAAGGAAGGCTCCCAGCTCCACGTGCTCCTTGTACCACCTTTTGGCTTACTACTGCTATGTGGCAGGTCAGGCTTTGTCCACAGCATTTTTGGTGAGGGATCCCTGGCTACCTGAATATAATCTATGGGTCCACCGAGATGCATCTAGGCCCATCTAGCTCCAGGAAAGCATCATACTGGCCCTCCCCACACCATGTTGAATGTGGACCTGAGCTGAATATGAAGCTTTTCCTGAAGACTTGCACCCTCTCTTGGGTTACACTGAAAGATGCAGGCCTCTGGTTTCAGTGTTCTCAGGCTGACTTACACCTAGTTGGCCAGGTATAGCACCCTCTCACTTGAATTTCATCCCCAAGGGTAGGCGGTAACCAGACATCTTGACTTGTTCCTTGCTGCATTTCTACTGTCCTCTCACTCTCGTTACTAGAAGGTGAGTTCCTCTTTGTACCTATTCTCCTGTCTTATGTAACTTCCCTTATATCCTGACCTCAGTTCTCTTTAGTTCCTGGCAATCTCCATGTTTAAGCCCATCAGACCTAGGTTTTGTTGTATTAAAGGAAGCATAGGTGTGTTCAAACTCCTTATTTTTCTTCACATTGCCCCATTAGGAACCCAAAATTCCTATTTAAAGAATTCCAATTCCCAGCCGGGCTCGGTGGCTCAGCCTGTAATCCTGTACTTTTGGGAGGCTGAGGTGAGTGGATTGCCTGAGCCCGCGGGTTCGAGACCCGCCTGGGCAGCGAGACCTCATCTCTACAATAAATCAAAAAATCAGCCGGGCATGGTAGCGTGCGCCTGTAGTTCCAGCTACGTGGAAGGCTGAGATGGAAGGATTGCCGGAGCCCAGCAGGTCGAGGCTGCGGTGGCCAGGAGTGGCCACTGCACTCCAGTCTGGGCGACAGAGTGAGACTCCAACTCAAAAAAAAAAAAAAAAGAGAGAGAGAATTCCAATTCCCTATTCCAACTCCCATATCTCACCTCAGCAAATGAATTGGACTGTGAACTATGAAAAAGGCTATGTAGACAGAAAGGAAAGAGAGGAGTGTCATGTTTCACAAGTATTACATACATTATAGCTATAAACAATAAATAATTTTAGCCCTAGGACAAGAGCTACATCACTATAGTGTTTGTATTGCTCTTTTTGAGGGGAGTGCTTTTCTTTCTGTAATTCTGCCAAAATGAACTGCTCTTCTAGGCAGGGCCACAGAGGGGTAACAGGTGAAAATTTACCACAGATAAGTTCCCTTGAGGGTTCGCCTAGTGGAGGCTGACCTATGCTGAGACTCTGGGGAGGATTACAGCATCCCCCAATCCTTGCAGAGGACTGCAGCCTTTTGTTTTCAGTCCCAAGGGATACTAGAGTCATTATGGTTATGTTGTAAAAGTTTGAATAATTGTGTATGAGATTTAGTAATACAAAACAATGACATATTTTCCAGGACCCACAGGGCACTGACATCTGGAATCTTTATAATGTTGAAATTTGCTTTAGGATAATAGCTCTCCTTGATTTATAAAATGTCATTCATTTTTTCCCAGAATTATGCTTCCTAATATTTAAAGTATCATAACCAAAAATGTTTCTTTAGACAATGATTAAAAATAATAAATAAAAGAACAAATTTCAAGTCATGTGAATGACTTTTTTGTGGGGATTTTTGTTGGGGGAGCACTTGATTGTTGTCAACCATTCCAGGAGGAGTTGGTTTTCAGGTAAATAGAGACTCCACATAGAAGGTGTCATACTTATCATGCAGTAAGCAATTATTAAGTACCTACTATGTGCTAAATTTGTTAATGCTTGAAGTTGAGTAATAACATAAAAGAATGGTCTTTGTTCTCTGGCTCATTCTTCTGATAATAGCCGAATGAAAAGAACTTAACTTACAACTTTCCTGGTTTCTCTGGTGGCATCTCTTACTGGAAGTCCAACTCCCACAGTGTGACCAAAGCTTAAATTTACCATCCCTTAATGGCTGATCTTAACATCATTGCCAGTGCCTCAAAGAGTCAATAGATAACTCTTACAAATCAGCAACATTCATGAGTGCCTCAAGTGACTTGGCCAAAAGAGGGGCTTAAGACTGAAACTGCTTGACCTCTGAATACACTTGACTTCAATTTTTGAAATTTTTCTCTTCTTAATGATGTTTGAAGAAAGAAAATTGAGACATGGTATGACAAACAAAAATTCAAGAAAAGCTATTTTATTGGAAACAAGGCATGATATTTTAAATCAATACCAGTAGGGAACAAAGTCTAAAAAACATTTCTCTAAGTTCAAAATAACTATGCTCGACTCAGAATAGAAATCTGAAGGACAAGGAAAAATAACTGAAAGATAACAAGAAGAATGTCAGTAGCAACAGCGGCTAACTTGTCATTAGTCTGGGCCAGACAAGTAGTTTCCATGCCGTATCTCATTTGGTCCTCACAACAACACTGTGAGATAGGTATTATTATTTCCCTATTTTTCAGATGAGGAAATTAAAGCCCAGAGCTGTTAAATGAAGTGCCTGAGATTCCACAGTGAGTAAACAGAATTCATATTCGGGTCTGCCCAGCTACAAAGCCATGGACGCTCTTTCCACTTTGCCACTGCTGGTAAATGTTGGCATCCATTAAAAAAGACAAGAGTCAGCTGGGCTCAGTGGCTCAGCCTGTAATCCCGCGCCTTTGGGAGGCTGAGGTGAGTGGATTGCCTGAGCCCGCGGGTTCGAGACCCGCCTGGGCAGCGGGACCTCATCTCTACAATAAATCAAAAAATCAGCCGGACGTGGTAGCGTTTGCCTGTAATTCCAGCTACTTGGAAGGCAGAGGCGGAAGAATCGCCGGAGCCCAGCAGGTCGAGGTTGCGGTGACCGGGAGCAGCCACTGTACCCCAGTCTGGGCAACAGAGTGAGACTCCAACTCAAGACAAAAAAGACAAGAGTCCATGAAGAATGATGTCAACAAGAGTCAGGAATTTGATCTGGGCCTTGAGGGTGAAGTAGGATTGGGATGCAAGGAGCATCTCTCTTGTGACATTTTACCCTGCTAGTCATGAGGATTGTTGATTTAACTCATTCATGGAAGAAGAGGGAATTGCTAAGGCATAGTGGCTCTGTATTCTGTGTTCAGTGAACAAAATGGCCCCGTTAAAATGATGGTCCAGTGCTCGCTTCAGCAGCACATATACTAAAATTGGAATGATACAGAGAAGGTTAGCATAGTTCTTACGCAAGGATGACATGCAAATCTGTGAAGCGTTCCATATAAAAAAAAAAATGATGGTCCACTACTGCCAATCCCTTTCTTATAGTATTAAGATAATTGTTCAAGGTCCACTTATGAGTGAGAACATATGGAAATTACCAGGGGAGGGGAGTGGGATTGGCAGTTGAAGGAAATTACCAGGGTAAGGGGAGCACACCTTATCAACATGGGTACCTACGTAATGAACATTTGTATATCTGACCCTGAATTTTACCCCACATCTTTAAAATTAAAAAAAAATTTTTTTAATGAAATGATGGTCCAGTCCTAAAGCTGATTTTAAAATCATCTCATTGCCAAGTTTGAAATGGACCTTTAAAAGTATCTCACACACACTTTACTTTGCATTTAACTCATCTCAGGGTCACTGTTTCCTATAATTTTACCCAAAAAGCTGGGCCCAAGTCAGTACCCTGCCTGCAGCAAAGTTCTGCCTGTGCCTTAGTAGGGTCCCTGAAACATGAGTTAAAAGGCACGTGGCTAAAAGGCTTTGTATCCATTGGGCTCCTAGCATGGTTTCCTAACTGCCTGTCTTGCCATTCTGATGACTTCAGATCTTGGAGATCACAACTTGTTTGTTTTTCAGCAATGGGTGAACACGTCTCACCAAAAAGTGAAGTATATCAGGAAGTCAGCCTTTGCAGTTGGAAGAAGCTCTATGAGTTTGACAAACCCCACACTGAAAGGACAGGGGGTGATTTTCCTTGGAACTCAAGGAAGTGAGTTCAGTCCTAACCTCTAACAAAAAACCTAGATTATAATTGCTGCTACCTAAGGGGGCTTGGATGGGAAAATAATGCTAATACATTGTGGGGGTGGTGAATGCCAGGCCCCGAAAGTCACGAAATTTCAAAGCTGACTAATTCTAATTTGGGTTTAGCTGAGTGAAGGAGAACAGCATGTTTTATGGCATGCTCTTAACACTATGAAATGCAATACATTGAGTTAAACATTAATTCTTTTCTAAAGAAGTAGAAAACCTCGGGTATATAATCATGGTCACTTTCACATCTCTGTTAATGCTTCATCTTCGGAATGTCATGACTTTTCAAACGTGTTATTCTTTTAACACTTTAAATTGGCATTGCACTTTATTTTCTGATGTGATGATTATTGTTGTTTATGCCTCTGATTACTTTTAGTAATTATATTTTAAATGTTTAATTATAAAATATTTTCAACATAAAGAAATGTACTTATATAATGGATGTCTGTATAGTTACCATATAAAGTTGACACTTTTAAAATCTTTTTTTTATATTTAACACAGATTTTCTTTTCTTTTTTTTTTTTGAGTTGGAGTCTCACTCCATCACCCAGGCTAGAGTGCAGTGGCACACTCATGGTTACCCCAGAGTTGACCTGCTGGGCTCAGGCGATTTTTCCACCTCAGCCTTCCAAGTAGACGGAACTATAGGTGTGCGCTTCCACACCTGGCTAATTTCTTGATTTTTTTGTAGAGATGAGGTCTTGCCGAGTTACCCGGGCTGTTCTAGATTTTCTTTTTAAAGATTTCATTCAAGACCTGTCTACCTTCCTTAACTTAAATCACCTTCACTTTCTTCCTGAAAGTATCCACAGGCCTGAAGTCAAGAAGTTGACAGGTATTTTTCGGAGGTACATTTAAAAACATTTACTTATAAGTACAAACTTGTAACTATATGGTCTCTCTCTCACTCAACATATATTTATATGTTTATATATCTTATGTGTAACATATTATATAATTTTACATATATCTTATATGTAACAGATATAATTTTATATAACATATATTACATATTATAACATATATAGTACTCTATATGTTCTTTTACAACTAGCTTTTTAAATGTTGCTTCCAATCTTTTCCTGTAAACATCATTGAGTAGGTACATGAGAGTTTC